AATGGTAAAAATGGTACGGTAAAAAAGTGTGTAAACACTAATCATGCTAACCAAACATGCATTTATGACAATTTAACCAAAAGTAAAAACATAACAACAAACCCAAAGTCAATAAGAACAACTTGAAACATTACTGGAATACTTTAGGGAAGATGAATAGGGAAATTAATAATGTAACAAACTTTCATGATCAAATATGTGAGGAACTATATTTAATAAGAAATAATATTTTTAAAAAGGAAATTGATACAAACTCTCCAGTAATTAACACTATAGATATAACAAAAGATGATGTTCTAAAAGCAATACAATCGACCAAATCTGGAAAAGCTTGTGGTCCTGATGAAATCGTCAATGAATTTATTAGGAATGATGGCGATACAATAACCCAGACATTAGCGCTACTTTTTAAGTCCTTTCTAAAAGAAAGCAATTTTCCTGATGGCTGGAAAGAGGGTGTTGTAAAACCAATCCACAAAAAGGGTGATACAAAAGACCTCAACAACTACAGAGGTATCACTCTAAATTCCTGTGTTTCAAAAATTTACAGTAAGGTTATTGAAACAAAGTTAAGAAAATTTGTTGAAGAAAATAACATTCTGGGAGAAATTCAAGGAGGTTTTGGGGAAGATAGGAGATGTGAGGATCATGTGTTTACACTCAAAGGTATAGCGTCCTTCAGGAAATCGAGTAAGAAATCTACTTATGTAGTATTTCTCGATTTCTCAAAAGTGTTTGATAGAGTTTGGAGGGATGGTTTGCGAGTATCCTTGTGGAAAGCAGGAATACAAGGACAATTGTGGAATATTATAGATGACATGTTCAAGAATGTTTTTAATAAGGTTAATTTTAATGATATTGAGACTGAATACTTTGAAACCAGTGAAGGTGTAAAACAAGGATGCATTTTAAAGCCCCCTACTCTTCTCAATTTATATAAATGAATTTGCAAAAATGTTATTTGAATCAAAACTAGGGGTGACGATAGGAACACAAATAATTCCTTTTTTGGTATGCTTGATGTAGCAGCTCAGTTCGCTAGTAAATGGAAACTCAGTTATAACCAATCCAAGTCACAGGAACTAGGAAACTTGACATTAAAAGAAAGTAAAACATACAAATATTTAGGCATAACCATATCAAAAACACTGAATGATCATACACAATTT